TGAGTGGGTGTGTGTGTGTGTGTGTGTGTGTGTTTGTGTGTGTATGCTGGTGCTTGTGTGTGTGATTCAGGGACTTGTTTCATGGTGAAGTCATTTCTCTCTCTCTCTCTCTGTGTGTGTGTGTGTGTGTGTGTGTGTGTGTGTGTGTGGAAGAGATGAGCAAAGCCCTGTAACCCACATCTCCTTTGTCTTTTGCCATATGACAATGGCTGTAAAAGGCCGTTGTAGTTTCCATGGCAACATGTCTGTGACTAAAAATCAGGTTATGGGTTAGCAGGTGCATGAACATGCATGTTTCTATATATCTGCAGATGTTTCACTATATTTTATCACCCCACATCAATCACACTCCCTCAGCATCTGAGGAAATATATCTGCAACAGGCATAAAAGTCACCTGCAACCACAACCACATTAGTTTAAATATGGTCTGATATTGAAAGGCAGAAAAAGCATAAGATATATCTTAAAACCAAAAAAATCAAAAAATTAATTAAACATTATTTTATTACAGAAATAGTTTAAATGTGAGAAACATTTTCTCACCCTCAGGCCATCCAAGATGTAGATGAGTTTGTTTCTTCATGGGAACAGATTTGGAGAAATGTAGCATCACATCACTTGCTCACCAATGGATGCTCTGCAGTGAATGGGTGCCGTCAGAATGAGAGTCCAAACAGCTGATAAAAACATCATGATAATCCACACCACTCCAGTCCAGCAGTTAACATCTTGTGAAGTGAAAAGCTGCGTGGTGTAAGAAACAAATCCATAATTAAGATGTTTTATCTTTAAACCTTCACTTCTGGCCAAAATATGATTCCATAATCCACAATAACGCTTCCTCTAGTGAAAAACTCCATCTCCTGTTGTCTCTCACATCAGAATCCACCCACATATTTGCTCTTTTGGACTGGTTTCACTTGGTGCTTGATCTGTGCATATTTCTCTCCTGATTCAGATTACTTTCTCACTGGAGAAAGCAATATTATGGACTTATATTTTAGCCAAAAGCAACGAGAAGTTTTTATCAACTGTTTGAACTCTCATTCTGATGGCACCCATTCAAGAACCTTCTTTCGCAACAAAGAACAGAAAGGTTCTTCAGATGTTAAAGGTTCTTTATGGAACCATTTAGACAAAAAGGTTATTTTATGGCATCGTGAAGCACCTTTATTGCTCTGATGAAGAAACTGATCTACATCTTGGATGGCCTGAGGGTGCATTTCAGCAAATTTTCATTTTGGGTAAACGTTTCCTTTAAGCAGATTTGTTAAAACGTTGTTCTTTCACTTTGTAGACCATCTAGTCCTGACATGTAAACTAAGGCTATAAAAAATGAACTAATGAAAAGGCTAATCCTCTGTTTGCTTTCTCTGGACTGTAAGATAAGACATGTCAGGGATCAACTGGATGCTTCTTTCTTTCCTCGAGAATCATAAAGAGAAAATCACTTATCTCCTCTGAACTGATGTGAATGTTCACGTTACCTGCACATGATCATGTGACAGTTCTAATCAGAGGACAAACATATTATTATGATCTTATAGAATCAGGGCTCACAAAGTTTGATAAGTGCTTTAAACAAAGGATTTAAAGATGGCACCACAAAAAAAAAAAAAAAAAAAATCCAAAATGTTTTCCATTTTGCTTTGCAATTTACATCAGTCTATGTAGTGGATGAGGTTTATGGGCATCCGAGGGTTTGGTGTGTCATAAGTGACTAAAGCTCAGAACCCACAAATGCAAAGTTCTAGTCCTACAAAGAGCAAGTCATGATGACCTATCAGCATTTATCCTTGAGCAAGACACTTCATTCAGATTACTGCAGGCAGGATAGAAGTGTCAGTGAAATTCTTTCTACTATTGCAAATATGCCTATAGCTCTAGAGTTTATGTATTTTCCTTTTATAACTTTATGACTGAGGAGGAGAAATTATGTCTCTGGAAATTGTAGACTGAGCGACTGAGAATATTCCACGAACACCTTCGGATTGTGAAGGAGGAACCAGACACATTTCCGGTCAGATGGCAAAAAGCAGTTCCTCAGAGGCTGGTGTGATTCAGCGGCATCTATTCATAAACTCATCAACCCTGTGAACCGATACAGCTGTCATCTGTTGACATGAAAAGGCAGAACATATATTTGCATTTTAAAACTGTCTTCATTTCAGCAGAATATACGAGTGTTCTTATTCCAGTGAAATCATGAGTTGAATTCCTCTGTGGTGAGTTCAGAGGAAGATAACTGTAGTGTAATGTTGTGAAATATGTGTCTGGAGCTGTTCAGAGTGTAAAGCTCAGCTCTGGGCAGATCTCTGAGTCAACAAATCACAGATGAAGATGTCTGTGGTGCAGATAAATCTGCATGAACAACCATTCACACACACACACACACACACACACACACACACACATGTCTGGT